GGATTTCAATATTAGTAAGTCTTGAAATAGTATCGGCACTGTAAGTAACTTGTTTAACCATATACCATCCTATTCCACTAACTTTTTTTGATTGTAGGCTCAAGCCAAAGATTCGCAAATATCATTTCTGGGTAATCCGGGAACAATTTTCAGATAGATTTGATAGGATTAAGAGTGCAAATGATTATTCTTTAGATCAGATGTGCGCTGTTATATCAGTTGATATTCTTAATCTTGGGATGAGAGCAATTAGAAAAGATACAATAAAGGGTTTTTACCGTAGGGATAATATAAAAAGCGAAAACTTAGAAAAGATAGGTGCTTGGATAAACTACTATTGAGTAGCAGGGAAGGAACTGTAAATATGAGTTAGGGCTTGGCAGGCTTAACAAGCAGACGTGTTCTTTCATGCCTTTCCTTCCTTAAAACATCCTGCTACTCTATCATTTTTTTACTTCCATTTTTACTTATCCCTTTCTTACATATTACTTTACAAAGATATAATAAAGATTTACTTTGAATTATTGGCATAAGTCATGTGCCTGTGACCTCAAAGGTCATGTACACATGATTACTGCGCCATATATTAAATTGATATCAATGTCTATTAACTCACATATGATCAATATTTTTGCCAATTTACAATCGCGTAAAAATAAAAAATAGCGAGGTCGCCGGACCCCCCCTTCTTTATTTAATAAAAAATGTTACCAGCGTGACAATATAACATACAAATATAAATATATTTTTATTATATAATTAAAAAACATATGCCTCAAAGAGGCGCCCTTAACAGGTTAGGTTGGTGGGGTTTACAATTGATCTAATGCTTCTTGAGCATCACAGAATTCATATCGAATCATTTATAATTTGATCCAAAAATTTTATGCCCTTTTTACTTTGTAAAGAGATCGTGATTATTTTTTTTTTCTTGGCAAAAAACGTGAACACGGTTCACGATCGGAATAATTGAAATTTTTCTGAGATTTTATTAACTAAGTTTTGAACAAATATATATCTTATAAAAATATTATCGAACATGCATTCCGAATTAGATTTATTGAAAACCCGCATCGCTGAGCTTGAGGCTGAAAATGCGAAGCTTAGGCAGACTATAAAAGAAAAATCTGATCTTGAGGCTGAGAATTCCAAGCGTAAAGCTGAGAATGCTAAACTTAAAGCTGAAGTAGCGAAATTAAGATATGACATTGAAGAAATAAAATTACAAACCCAAGTTATTCCTAATGAATTTGATATACCTTCTACAGGAAATATTTCGCAGTTATCCGCTCGTCCAGAATTACCTCAACTAGAACATAGCTCGACACAGGCCCAAGGGGGTAAATCCTTAGATTCATCTAAATCGCCAACAGAGCCTGAATCATTCGCAACCTCTTTGCCAGAAGAGATTATTGATGACGATTCAGCCGAGACCCTAGATTTTGTAGAAACGCTATATAAAGAAAATGTTAGTAACGAAATAATGGAGAGAACTAGGAAAAAGAAGTTTCAAAATCAAGAGGTGTCTTCTGGAAAACAAGACACTTTTTCAGAAGAATCTGTACAAAATATATCTGAAAAATCTATCGGGAATTCGGCTAGTACATACGTGCCAAGTTTAATGTCTGAAGTTGTACAAGGTTTGTTACAAGAATTTTCAGTAAACTCTATAGAAGGAAAAAATATTGAATTTATTAATAATGAGCCTTCAAATTCCGCACCTGTTGAGCTTGCTCATTTGTTATATCAAGCTAGTAAAGCGAGAAAAAAATCTATCAAAGCTAAGCAGGAAGAAATTTTATCTTGGGGTTGCTATTCTGAAAAATACGAAGATAGAGTTATAAAGATTACATCCGAAAATAAAAATCTTAAGGATAAGACTGCCAGAACCCAGATTTATAATGAAATGAAGCCATACCTCACGGGCATTTCTGATGAGTATTTACGCAAGATAACAAGTAAAGCAAGAAAAATTCTTAAGCTATTCGGGTGGGAATATGACACTATAACCCAGAAAAAAGTTAATGGAATAGGATGGTATATGGTTAAACAAGTTACTTACAGTGCCGATACTATTTCAAGACTTACTAATATTGAAATCC